AAAAGGTCTTCAAAACAAAAAGTAGGACAAAGCAGACGAACCCTTTTAAGCAAATTATCATAGGTTCTATATTTTAATCAGATTGATATATTTAAATAACGTTGGAATTATTAACCTGCACTTTTTATTGTTTATTTTTAGCAACTTGGACAAAATGACCCAAAATCCTATCACTTGTTGGGACGATATTACTATGTATGTTGCAATCCAATATAAAGTATTTGATTTACCAACCAGAAACCAAAACTGGTAAATATAGATTCTTAAATTAGTACCAGTGGATTATCGGGCTTATCCAATCAAGATAGTTAAATTATCGAATTTTAAAAGTCCGAGATTGGATAAGTCCAATAATCCACGAGTAACTATGCAATAATCTGTTTCTCTAATGATCATCAAATAAATTTTCATTTTTGAAAAACGAAAATCCCCTTCGAGTGCCTTCCACATTCCACAAAGTTATATCAATTTCAATCATTAACACCTGTTAGCACATATATAGATATAGACATCTGAACCTTAATAAACTACTTCGCCGAGCGCAGCTGGATACGACCGCAGAGGTCAGACCCTAATCAGTTGGGGCAAAAATTGACACAATATTCAATATGATACAGGTCTGAATATGGATTGTAAATAAATATTTGACACATAGGTTTCTGACACAGAATAAATGTAGTCAAAGAACTTGAAATGGTTATATGATTTGAATTTATATTCAATTGAAGATTTCTTGCTTTTGTGCAATACACTGTGCTGTTGCGCAATACTTAGTAAATCTGTTTTCAGACTATATACAAAGAATTAGCAAAATAAATTTTGACGCCAATTTCTTAAATCTATTTACCCCATCACCAAATTTTTTTTACCCCCCGCCCCCCTTTTTCCAAAAAAATAACATTTGAAGAAATTTTCTTTTTGTAAAATGTGGTACAATCTAAGAGACATCAATACACTTGGACACAAGTGATTATCTGAAAACTAGAAAAATGCTTGTTTTAGATCCTTTTTGGCCCCTAGTTCCTGAACGGTTTGGGTAATTATCCCCAAAATAAATCCCAACCTTTTACTTGTGGTATTGAACCTTGTGGTACAATTTCAGAGCAATCAAAATACTTATACACAAGTTATTGTCCTGAAACTAGAATATATGGGGAATGTGTGCATGGGACACAGATGATGCTTCCATATCATATAAAGTTATAAAGGGACATAATTGAAGAATGGTGAAAGTGACACTACCCAAATTTGTACTTGATCTGAGTTTTGTGGTAATAAGCATTGTGTATAAGTTTCATAACATTTGGTTGAGGCTAAAATAAGTAAGAGTACGGAAACGAAAAATTCAGCAATTTTTCCATTTGTAAAGGGGCATAACTCTAGAACAGTAAAAGTTACACTACCAAAATTCAAACTTGATCTGTATTTTGTGGTAATAAGCATTGTGTATATGTTTCATAACATTTGGTTGAGGCTATCTAAGTTAGAGAACGGAAACGAAAAATTAAGCATTTTTTCCATTTGGAAAGAGGCATGACTCTAGAACGGTAAAAGTGACACCACCAAAATTCAAACTTGATCTGTATTTTAAGATACTAAGCATTGTGTATAAGTTTCATAACATTTGGTTAAGGCAAACTAAAGTTAGAGAACGGAAACGAAAAATTCAGCAATTTTTCCAATTGTAAAGGGGCATAACTCTAGAACGATTAAAGCGACACCACTTGATCTGTATTTTGTGTTTATAAGAATTGTGTATAAGTTTCATAACATTTGGTTGAGGCAAACTAAAGTAAGAGAACGGAAACGAAAAATTCAGCAATTTCCATTTGTAAAGGTGCATAACTCTAGAACCGTTAAAGTGACTCCACCAAAATTCAAACTTGATCTGTATTTTGTGGTAATAAGCATTGTGTATAAGTTTCATAACATTTTGTTGAGGCAAACTAAAGTCAGTGAACGGAATGGAAAATTCAGCAATTTTTCCATTTGTAAAGGGGCACAACTCTAGAAACGGTAAAAGTGACGCCACCAAGGTTCAAACTTGATCTGTATTTTGTGGTAATAAGCAACCATTTTGTACAAGTTTCATAATATTTGGTTGAGGCAAACTAAAGTTACAGAATGGAAACCAACTTTGGGACGTACAGACAAGGGTAAAACTTAATGAGGGGCCTGATGGGGGGTCTCATCACGAGTTGATTTTTTTGTCAATCACGATTCACAGAAAATAAATTTCCATGATCACAGATCACGAAAATATAAAAAAAAAAAATCTGTAGAAAAACGGATCACGATAGCGAAAATGCGCCGATCACGAAGAACGAAAATAACCCATCATGCCCCTCCGCTACGGCGGGGGCATAAAAATGCTTGTTTTGGGCCCCCAATTCCTAAACGATCCCAACCTTTCTTTTGTGGTATTGAACCTTTTGCTTAAATTTCAGAGATCCATACACTTAAAGTTAATGTCCGGAAACCAAATGTCTTTGGACGACGACATGATAGCAATACACGACCCAAAAAATTTTATGCAGTCGTATAAAAAATGAGGTCAAGGTTTAGATAAGCCTCATCAAACCGAGATATACACCTTACAATCATTAAATACGGGGAATATGGTTGACCATTACTTGCGAGACTGATGAAAATAAAATTTACTGCTGTACCATGAAAACGATGTTACGGTCAGATAATCCCTGCAACAAGGACATGTGCACCTTTCAATCATTTTGTTCAACAAATTACTTCCCCATTACTAAAAGAAACTGACCCCAAAAAAACTCATTTGTTGTTCCTGTTGTATAAACAGGACTTGCATCAAAATTTCAACCTTGACTACTGAAAGATTCTGGTAGCACACAACTTCTCACATTACAAATCCTGATGTGTTGTTTAAAGAAACTTAGGTTACAGCTTTTTTCAGCATCTGCTTGTAAAAATCACTTTTTTTGTATTGGTATTCAGGACCGTTTTTTACCCAACTCACGAATTGCACAAGCAGCTCTAGTAAAATGCTAGACTCCATCCGAAAGAAAACTTTTATCAAAGTTTTCATGACTACCATGAAAGAGAACGATTTAATATTTGGTCTGCATTCAATATTGAGTTGTAGCATGTAAGCAATTTCTACATCTGCCGTGTAGTCTTTTCCTGTTTGCCAATAGTTTGAAATTTTAAAACTCATTGCACAAGAAAATTTCGTCAGTTTTCTAGGCTCTTATTGAAGTGAATGATTTTAATTTTGTCTTGGAATGACAAGTTATACTCTGCAATAAATGGTACCTCAATCACTTGCATGCAGCAACGTTGGTCCAGGTTTGGTTTAACTGATGCCTCCTTATATTAATTACTGCCATCTAGATTTGTGTTCAACGTGGAAAAGAAAATTTTCCATTGAATATTATTTCTGCATTCCAGATTGGTGATATAAATCAGTCAGGACAATCAGGCCCTTTGATTTGTCCAAACATTATTGCAAGGTTAAAGGTGTTTAGAAAGGGGGGACAAATGAATTTCTAATTCGACAAGTTACCAAACCACGATGAATTTGGATATTTTGAAAGTCTATTTTCCTTTTCAAGTCAACAGAAAATTAATTTTCGCAATGTTTTTGTTGTCTTTGTTGCTGTGTTTGATGTTTCCAGAGGAAATATGGAGGAGACGTCATAGATTTACCATTTTTACTACATGTTCACGACAGGGGATATTCACTCCAGGTATCCTCCCGCAGATTTCCAATTGTGACACCCAATGCAATATTATTTTTGATCTGATGCATTTCCATACAGTATGTGCAAGTTTGCAATAATTTTTGTCTTTATTTGTACATATAAGAATGCTCAAATTTTTAGCTCCTAGCTTTCCTGATGAAGCTAATTTAGAATGTTCTTTGAACTCAGCAATATCAATCCATGATTTGGATTTCCCATTGACGCCAATAAAAACAATTTTAAATGTTTCTCTAGTACTGTGCAAGACCAAATATTTTCAAGCTTTATAGAAAAGATAATACTCTATCCCTCTTAAAACAAGGATTCATACAGGCCATCTTATTCCTTGCGCAATTTATCATTTAGACAATTAAGGATGTTTGCTCTTGTTTTTGGATTTTTGCCAGATTTTCGGAATCCTCCATGAATTGCCATTAAAAAAATATGCCCACTAACCCCTACTTTTCTTTTCATAATTTTATTACATAGTTTAAAAAGCCATATTTGAGAGTCTTATAAAATCCTTATTTTTTCATAGTTTTTTAAGGGCTATTCCAGAAAAAAATGTATGGGGGGGTTGGAAGGCACTTTATATTAATAATACATGGGTGATGGGTATCAGAGTAACTTTCACATATATAGTGCACTCTGATTCTAAATTACGATTGTCTGGGTGGCGGGTGCTGAAAAAAAACTGCCTTCCAACCCCCCCATACATTTTTTTCTGGAATAGCCCTAAACAGAAAAGCTGCCAATGTTAAAAGAATGAAAAATCTAGAGAAAATCATTTCCCGCCAAATTTTCAATGGCTTATATCTCAAAACAAGCTCACGGACCCTTAATTTTTTTCTGCTTTTTTAGTTCCTTTATTTATATAATATCATTTTAGAATAGTCTTTTAAAAAGCTTGTTATTTTGAAACAGAGTAGCAAACATCCTTAAGCACAAAAATGACAACTCTTGGCTAGCACATATCAGCACACTAGTAACAACACTTGATTAGAAACTTGCAAGGATCATTCATGAAATTTTTTTATTATTCTGTTCTGATTCTGAAGAAGATTTGTGTTTTAAATATCAGATGACAACAGATATCAAGCAAAGGCAACAGCTCACATGTCCTTTGATCTGCTAGCTTTATTAACAGACATACAAGATGCAAGACAATTAGACCTCATCCAAAAATTTAAGAAATAGCATTAAACAAACTTGGGTCTACAGTATATGCAATATTCATTTCAGAACATTCAAGAGATGCATCAGTGGAGCCATTTACAAAAAGTACTATTTATTTTCAATTTTCCCTGACCAGGGACATTTATTCAAATTACAATATTTACACTATGTATTTTAAACTCTTGCTTTCTTGACAAGAGTAAACAGTTTTTTTTTAAAACAAAGCAAAAGTTAAAAATCACATAGTTGTGTATACAACATTTTTTGTTAAAAAAGTTGACATGTCCATGATCGATGATATTCCATTGATTGATTGATGAGGGATGAGGATGAATCGATGAATTACCATTCTGTAAATAGAAATTAAATTTGTTCAAATTACCATGTTTATACATTACCTTTCAGAAGTAGCTGCAAGTACCATCATCAATAATCTGTATTGTAGCATATTTATGTCCAATTTTAATTTTTGTAAATTTGTTCCACATGTCAAACGGATCATCGACATCTTGTAGAAAGTGTAAATGTTTCACCAGTCAATCACCCAGTAAAACAATTATCTACATGCAGCTCAAGTCGCAACTTTACTGGCAAATACTTTTTTTCTGTAGCTCTCGATCACTTTTTCATTTCAGTATAATTTCCTGATGTACAAGTAATAATATTGCTGTTGTGCCTTCTTTTTTTTTCAATAATCAATTGAAAACTAATATATTCATCTTTTATAACACTTTCTGGTTTCTGTGTATTATTTCACATTGTCACTTTTCATAATTTTTGTTTGTAGCTTTAATGTTCATGTTCTATGTATTTTATGAATTGAATGTGTCCACAAATAACAGACCGAAGGCAAATCTAAATATGAAAACTGAAACAAACATGATTTTCTGTTTCTTGAGGTTAGTCTGCATCTATTTTTTTTATTTATGAGCTTGCTGATATCAGCATTTCTCCATGAAAATGCAAAACACCTCCACCATAATTGCCTTTTTCCTTACATTCTTTTCTTAAAAATATATAAGTAATGATCTTGTGATAAAACCGTATCTAAATATGTGCTTTATTGAGTTTTGCTGGCCATGCACAACTGTTTTGTGTTTTACGCTGTGGTAAAATAACCCAGAATTCATTAATCATTAAAAATTTGCCAACAAACCTGATAAAGCACACATCCAAATATGGTGGTAAACATAACATAATCACCGAAGAAGAGGCTTACAGAATCACATGTTAGTTTAACAGTAAATTTTGGAATACATTTCAAAAATGACAGAAAATTATATAGATTATACAATCAAAAACATCTAAAATCTCTAGAAAACGTTCATCTAACAAAGGTGCTTGTTAATTTCTACCATCAGCATTTCTAACTACGAATGGTTAGAAAATAAAGACTTTCTGAAAAGGTGCACACTTTGTTAGAAGTATGAGAAATGAAAATACTTTACATTAAAAATGAGACCTATAAATTTCTTCATCGGTTGTATGGATGATAACCTCCTCCTCCTCGGGCACCTTTCTGTGTTTTACCATATTGACTTGTCTGTTGGCCTACAAAATATACAAATGCTTTATCTTTTCTGCTTCATTTTCCCAGCCTTCTCCATTGGTATCCCAGTAAATGAATGATTTCATATTATCAAATCCTTTTTATTGAACATTACTTTCAATCTACCTGTGACTTCCAACAACTGCATTAACGTATCCTTAAAAGCTTAAAATTTTAAAGCTTTTTCTTGTATTCTGCCAGTCTGTAGACCTTCAGAAGTCTGCTTTGTAACTAAAATAAGCTTGAACAATCCCAATGCATTTTACTTACAATGTTGAATGATAGTCTCTTCCATTTATAGAAACAGTTAACAACATATAATACTTGTCATTTATTTAAATGTTTAAAAGAAACAATTGAGATTCTTTTTTTTTTTAAATAACACTCAACACTAGCCCCATCAAAGAGCTTACTTGAATATTTTTCCTTACAAAAAAACACTGGATATAAATTAAGATGGTTCAATCCTCAACTTCTGCATTATTGTCAAGTCTCATCAATATTATACATACACTTGTACATCTATGGTTATCTATGCTGCTGCTGCCAGCATGCAACATTTGAAATACTAAGACCCTTGGTAGTTTGAAGCATGAGTAAGCAATAAGGTGTAATATACAACTGAAAGCAGTTTTGAATTTGTCCAAGAGTATTCAACTATTTCTGTAAGTACAACCCTTAAATTCCTGTAAACTTGAGTCCCTTAAAATAAGGAAATTTGCTTTCATTTATCTTAGAAATAAGAAAAATCTGTCCCCCACCCCAAAAAAATTATGAACTCAGATGTCCCTTTTTCCCAATTTCAACAGAATAGATGAATTATGCATTCACTTGCATCTTAAACAAGAGGCTCTCCAGAGCCTGAATCACTCGCCTGTATTTCAGAGGAGAAGATTTTTAAATGTTAGGAAACTTGATGAACAAATTGTGTAAAATTGTCTTTAAAGGGCAACAACTCCTTAAGGGGTCAATTGAAAATTATGGTCATATTACCTTTTTTGTAGATCTTACTTTGCTGAACATTATTGCTGCTTACAGTTTATATATATCTATAATAATATTCAAAATAATAACAAAAAAATACAAAATTTTGTTAAAACTACAAATTCGGTGGCAGCAACCCAACAATGGGTTGTTCGATTCGTCTGAAAATTTCAGAGCGGATAGATCTTGACCAAATGAACAATTTAACCCCATATGAGATTTGCTCTAAAAGCTTTAGTTTTTGAGATATAAGCCAAAAACTGCATTTGACCCCTATGTTCTATTTTTAGCCATGGTGGCCATGTTTGTTGATGGATCAAAACTTCGGATACAATTTATAAACTAGATACCCTAAGGAACATTTAGTTAAAGTTTGAAGGTATTTGGCCCAGTAGTTTCAGAGGAGGAGATTTTTGTAATAGTTTACGACAACAGATGACGGACGCCAAGTGATGGCATAAGCTCACAAGGAGCCCTTTGGGCCCCAGTGAGCTAAAAATCAGTAAAAAGATATAAAAAAGTTTACTATCCAAATAAGAATAGATCATAAGTAAACATGCAGATAAAAGCTAAACCATATGTTACAAAGTCATCTGAATTATGTTCATTAAATAAATAAATCAAGATAAAAGGGATCTGTAAGCAAGAAATTATAATTTTACAAAAAATAACAAATAGGTATATTCAAGTTTATTAAAAACTATTTTTAAAGAAACTTTTTATTGCAAACAGGTTTACTTTTAAATAAAAGCTTGCAAAAACACCTGCATTCTTTTTCTTTGGACATGTTGACAGAAAATGCAATTCAGTCTTCTTGGATAGATTAACTTCGATCTGCAACCCATGCAACTACATACAATCAGGTCAATAGTTACTGGCAGTGAACGAGTATGGACAACTGCTATACTCTAGAATTATGGGAGGACTGACAAAAGGTTACAATAGCTGCTATAATTAGTCTTAGTTATGTACAACACTGAAATAGGCATCTTTTATGCCTTTTGAAATAAGGAGAAAATTCAAAGTTAAATTGCAGAAGAAACTTAAAATTTGGCCACTATTGAACCCTAGTAAGATTTTAAAGCTGCTCTTTTGAGTGTTAGCATCACACATCCTCTACAGGAACATAAAACCAAATAAAGCAATGTGAACTGCAGCAACCTACCTTGATCATATCCCCAACTTCCATTGCCATAATCATAGCCTACAAAAAGATGAGGATGCATCAAACCAAAGACTAGTTAAATTTGATGATGCCCCATGTTTTTGGGCTCCATTATCAGTAACTCGAACAAATGAACAACTTTGTGTAATTCAGCTGGATCTCACTAATCACTTTATTTTTTTCATTGCATTATTTTTGTTTGTGTCTCCCTCTTTTATACTTAGGAATTGCTTAGGTACAATATTTAAATAAAAAATATGTTTGGTTGGTCTGATTTCTAATGCAAACATTATGAGCCGTGTTTGAAAATTTTATATTATCCATCTTATCAAACTACCATAGCTTTAGTGAATTTTTCTTTTAGTTATTTTACCTTAAAAATTATTCATATTATGCATTAGAACAGTAACACAAGTGTATATTTTTCATCAATATGGTACCTATTCAATCCTTGAACCATGTCAGAATATGATCAAAATGCAATAAAAGATAAGTATAAAGATTACAAAAGATTTTTACCTTGACAAGCAATCAACAGACTTGTACCATAGTGAGGCAACACGTTTGTGGAAATGTTATATTATGGCATTATCAACAAGTTTATTCCTTCAAGTCAATTCCCAAAAAAGTAAATTGTGTTTCAATTTTTCAATGATAAAATCCCTTATTAATATTGTGTATGAACATCATACTACACTGCATGTTTGTATAGATGCATTTTATCCAAAACTTATTTGTTCTATTTGAGCATATAAATTTTCAAACTGCTCCTTTACAGATATAAATAAAAGGTTTATATATAATTCTTTATCTGAAATATTTATTATTTCTTGAAAAGTAAATTCTCTTAATTCTAAACCCAATATACTTTTGGAATAGTTATCAGCTTTTCAATAATTATTCATAGGAAATTTTTACTCAGACTTTACATTTTTTTTATTGACTTGCATACACTTAAATCTAATTATCCATTCACTACCTACAATTTTTTGGATTTCATCAAGTTAGAGGACAGTAATTCCTTAAATAATACATGTCATATATTTATGTATTTACAAAAAATATTAAATGTAACCAACTATCAAATCTGTAAAGAGTTAACAATTTTGATAACGGGTTAGTTTTTTCTGCATATTTGTCATAAACTTCAGCAGGTTTCTTTGATCAATAGAATGAAATGAAAAAAGGTCATCTCATCAAAACCCAGATGAAATTATGTCAAATAAATAAGGTCACAATAATTGGACTTCCATCCTAAATTATACTTTATCCAATGAACCAAGAAATGTTTTTTCTGTTAAAATATTACTCTTGCTTTAAAAACCAAGATTTTAATACATAAAAAAGATTGCCAAGTAAGCGCAAGCTGACACACCAACTTCATTCAAGATTACTTTCAATATCTTTTAATACATATTGTTTTTTTGGATTGCTTTTATTTAACCCAAATTTTGTGGAAACTAACTTGATAAGCAGGTGGATGAAAATCATACTTTCATTATGACCTTTAAAATAAAACAAACAACAAAAAACTGAAAATTTATTAAGCCTGCGACTGAAGCTTACCTCCATAACCCCCATATCCACCATAGTAACTTTGGTCATATCCTCCCCATCCATATCCATAATTATTATAGTAATTGCTGTCATAATTACCATAACCACCATAATTGTAAGCAGGATAAGCACCACCTTGGTTTCCATAGTAACCTTGGTTGTACCCTACAATAAATCCATACATCATTATCACTGTTGTGTGCAATCATCAAGTATGGCATTTTTTTGTGTCTTTGAGAGTCTGTTACATTTAAGAGTATTCCTTACAGGCAAAATGAAAATGAGTTGTCAAAACAACATTTAATTAGCAGAAAGTACATTAAGAGAAATGAAAATGATTTCCAAAAAAAATTTCAGAGTTCTACTTAGTTATCAATGTATATTTTGTTTCATTCATACCAAGAATAGAATTGATTTGATTTATAAAACAAACTAAATAAGAATGTCAATCATTTTGTAAAAATGGCATTAATAAGATGAATGCATTGGTAATGGATACCTGCATTTTGTTATCAACCTTAATTATTATTCAGTTAATTGTTTATCTAGGCAAGTCCCAGGTTATAGGAAACCATTGACAAACTTTCAGGCAGAAAGCAATCGATCTTTATTAGGGTTGAATTGTTTGTTGCAGATGGCTACAAAGAACAATTGAACCCTTTCCTACTTTATTTTGGACACCAACCTCCACGACCCCTACCTCCTCTTCCTCCATCAAAGAATCCACCACGTCCTCCTCTTTTACTTTGATTTGTGGGTGTGGCTTTCTTTACATCAAACTACAAATTTGAAAAATTCACTTTACTATTTAAATCTATACATGATTTTCATATTCTATAAACACTTTAGTTTTTACCATTTACAAGGGTATTCTTTACTCAGTCTGAGAAGTTCCATAGTAGTAATTACACTTTACAACACCTGTTAAAAGCAAAAAAGAGCAAGAACTTGTTAAAACATTAACAAAAATGTAAATAAACTTGATCAAAGTGATCTGTAACATTAATCTAGTAAGATTGTTTACACTTTTGTTTGCAGAGCTTGAACAGTTTTTCTTTCATATGGTTTGATACCTGCCCTCAACTGTTTCGGCTCCTTTGCATCCACTCAAATCCTGCATTCCGCTGGAAGTGGAACAAAAGGAGGGTCAGACATAGTCATCATAGCAATAACAACATTTTTCCCAGCACTTTAGCCAACAACCACTGTTATTTTTATCTTTTCTTGTTTACTGTTAAGTATCTATATATATATATATATTTCTAGCAAAGCTTTGTACTTCTCATGTGAAAGCTTCTTTAACCTTACAATTCAATATCAGTAAATGTTCAATAAATGTTCACTGACAGAAATCATAAATAAAACAATACTTTAGCCTGAAAATTGATAACTCGTACTGAAAAATAGAATTTGTTAAAACAGTAAAAAATCATTAAATGTATCCAGATCTAAACAGACATCAAGATGCATTAAACGAACATGCAGTGTATTCACCTATGATGCAAACAGACTTAATTTCATCTTTTGATCTTCACTGTTTAATGGATGGGAAGCAAGTCAGGAAGCCCTCAGTCCACTAGGTTAACCCAATGTTTGGACATGACTAAACATGAATAATAAAATCTCCAAATTTGGACATTAAATTTAGTCACAAGCATGTAAATTCTTATTTACTTTCCATCTAACATATTAAAAGCAACATTCATAAAATGATGTGTGTATTGAATGCTGCTTGCAATATGTTGCTCATAATTTTTTTTGTTCAGACAGAGTAAAAATCATTAAAATAAAAAAAATTGTACTTGTAAAAACTTGGTAGGCCATATGGTACTATGAGGAATAAAATCTCTCTTGGCAGGATCATAACTGGTCTAATTGAGTAAAACTATATTTTCTGTACATACATAAACTTGCTATCTTTAAGAAGTAACAGAAACAAGTGGGAAAATCTGTCTTATCACTATTAAATGTTTTGATTTTCATGAATGTGTTGATGTATATCTGGGAACAGAAGCAGCCATTAATTACATTGAGATTTGTGAATTGAGAAAATTCTAAATTTAAAACTTGCATCATTCGTGAATCCACTGCATTATTTGGAACAATTTTATGACATGGAATCCAACATACCTCTTGTGAGCCCATTTTGTGTGTAGTTTCATTTAATACTTTCTCTACAGCCTTTTCAGAATCAAATTCCACAAACACAAAGCCTCGTCTTTGGTCCTTTTGTTTGTCAAATGGCAATTCCACTTTCTCTACCTGTGAATACATTTGCACAACACTTAAGTCATAAATGCCAAACACATATATAGATCTTAAACCAAATAGAAAAATTCAGCTTAAATTGTCATTGTGAATCTGTATAGATACAGATGTCATTAATAACTAGAATGTGTCCATAGTACATGAATGCCCCACTAGCACTATCTTTTTCTATGTTCAGTTAAATTATGGTAAAAACTCTAATTTAGCATTAAAATTAGAAAGATCATATCATAGGGAACATGTGTACTAAGTTTCAAGTTGATTGGAATTCAACTTCATCAAAAACTACCTTGACCAAAAACTTTAACCTGAAGCAGGACAGACTCGAAAACATAATGCCCTTGGTGGGGCAAAATAAAATAGTAAAACATGGTTGACGTCCACTGCTTTGAGTTTGTCCTTTTTTTTTATAAGCACGGAAAGTAAAACATTTGATCAGTATGCTTTAGATTAAATTATACTTATTTATATAATTAAAGATACCGATCTGCACCTTTTTAATTATATATCAGTCACATGTTTTATGTTCTCATTCTTAAAACTAAACTTCTTGCGCACTTCCACAGGTTTTAATTCCACTACCCCAAATATTTTTTTAAGGAAATTAACATCTATTGAAAAAAAAAACCAAACGATTCCTCAAAAACTTACCTTTCCAAATTTGGAGAAATATTCTTTAATTTCACTTTCTTCTGTGCTTGGATCACATTTTCCAACGAATATTTTCTTTACCACTTCTCTTCTTGGATTTGCTTTTTTTGGGTCTATTGTTCGTCCATTTAATTTGTGTTCTTTCTCTTCTAAAACCTGAAGAAATCAAATACAATTAAATAGTAAGGACAAATCTTTTATCAATAAAATAATCTCAAGATGAACATGGTGAAAATACAAGCACTGAAAATGCATTTTGTAAAAAAAAATATATTTTGGAAAATTAAATGAAGTACAAATTGTTCCTTCTCCATACAGTCGTCATAATTATATAATAGAGCTTCATAAGTTCTCCTTCGGAAAATAGCCTTTAGTTCATACTTATTTCTGGTTGTTTAAATACAGATCAAATACTCAATTCTATGTTATTAATGGGCATAGATAAAGTTAAAAGTTATATAATGAAATTATACTAATTGTCACAAAGAACTTCCAAATTCAATCACCTTCGTTATCATATATACATGTACAAAAATACTACTGAAACCAATGAAACACTTACCTTGTCCACTACAGATGCTAATTTAAATACAACAAAACCAAATCCTCTTGATCTTTTTGTTTCAATTTCTGTCTTTAATGTGCAGTTTTCTACTTCTCCGTATTTACAAAAATAGTCTTTCAGATCCTCTGAAAAAACATAAAAGGACAATGACAATATGTCCAGAAGTTTTCCAACATCTCTAAATTGGATACAAAAACTTGCAAAATGTGGCAAAAACAATCATTCAATACTCAAAATAGTGATGATTTTTTGTGAAATTATTTCATGTATGGTTAGTCCATATGTCCCTTTGGGAATAAAATATTAATGTTGTCCAATTGAATGAAATAAACAACACAAGTAGAATAAAATACTCATCATCAGTACTTGACAATTTCCAAATTTGATTGATCAACCATTTACATTAATTTTAGTAAATAAACACTTTTGCCCTCAAGTACTGAAATGAGGATCAGTTTTGTTTTGTTAGAAATGACTTGGATGTTACATTGTAACATAAATTTGTAATAAATAAAATGTAGGTCATAATGAAACAAGACCATGCTGGACTTTGTCAATGTCGCAATTTATTATATCTTTCAACTACCAAATATGACTGCAGGCGATATTATTGGCACCTCTATTATCCCCACATCAAAATTGTCATGATTTGATTAATAGTAATCAGATATCAGAGACCAATACAGGGCAATCCAAGTTATATGTTGTCTTCAAGCATTCATTACCTGTACAAGTTTTCTAAAATTACTTTCTTTTCATTTGATTATCTAACAATTTGAATAGGACGTTATAGAATCATATATTAACATTTGAGCTTCTTTGTGAAAAAATAAAATTTTCCATGGAATTACTGCTAACAACAGATCATAATTTCTCCAAGAAAAAGAATCCCCCCCCCCCCCCGATTACAAAAAGGGTGTGCAAATTATACTTAATTTTTTTCACAGTATTTGTGATGAGACAACTAATAGCACAAAATAGAGGTCTACATATTTCAGTTTTTTTAAATATGATTGTACTTACTTTGTGTAGTTTCCCAGCTCAGATTACCAACAAACAACTTTCTGAAAGAGATAAAAACCAGATCTAAGAACTATAATCAACATTTCAAGGTTTATCAGATCTTAAGGAACTTGTCATTTTTAGCTACATTGTTAATTTGGATGTCTTTCTAGAAAGGCTTCGTTGATTTAATGTTTAAACTAATATCTATTTTGAAAGAAATTACATTTATTCACCCGTTATTATTTATTGAATTTATTTTTTTTGGGAATAAGAATTTTGGGTTTCATTTGAATATCTCAAAGATTTTTTTTTAAATATAGATTCAAACAGTATTAATGAATTCACAGCATCTTGTAATGGGTCCATCTGCTCTATTATAGTCATTCATAGGGCATAAATTCTCATATTTGATTCACAACATACTAAAACGTAAATCCAAATAACAATAAGTCCAAAAAGAAACGATAAAAGTCAATAATACAATTGTGATGTTTCAATAATATTTTCACCCAATTGAACTAAGCAGAGATAAAATAAAAATATACATATATTTGTTCCGCCTAATAGAAGTTCCTCTGGAAACTGTTTTAAACAATGTCATAATATCTGTCCTGTTGGACAAATATTCTATACCCTTTATTCCGTTAGGAACAAATACTGTAATCTTCATCCCAGTGGAAATTATATAACAGAAAATTTCTTCCACTTAGAACTTGTATTAGCAGGGAACTTCTATTTCGTGACAACATGTCCGTTTATTTTACCAGTTTTGGGACTAAATGAACACATTTTTTTCCCAGATTTTGACAATATGAAAAATAAATGTTGACTTCCAATCCTATTTTTTCCAGGATGTAACTGGAGCCGCACATTTTATTTGGCCCGACAGCTAAGAGGAAAGTATTATTTCACTATTCCTCAAAAAGTTGCATTATTGTTTTGAAACAAAGAAAATCATATTCTTATTTTTGTCTTAGTCTCAATCGCAGCTAATGCCCCTTCAAATTCTAACATCCAGGTAGAAAAAATCTATTGGGATTCTTCTTCCTTCATGATGGTGAAATAAACAAACACTTGAATCACATTTGTAACTGTCAGCTCAGTTGCAGACTTTAAATCAACTATTGTTGTTTGAATATCTGTTGTCCTTCTATTTGCCAAAACTTTCTACTAACTCACCCCACTTATGAAAAGCCAAAGGGTTTTATTCTGCTGAATTAAGGCATGCAATCTCGCCCCCTCAAGAAAAAGTTTGAATCTGATGAATCAAGGCCTGCCAATTCGCCCCACTTATGAAAAGTAGTTTAAATTATCCTGATGGATAATAAAGGCTTCCTTTCCCACTGAATTCAGACCTGCCAAATCACCCCCAAAATTGAAAATAATTTATATTTCAATAAAGACATGCCAGATCTCCCCACTAAATTAAATACTGATTAAAACCTTAGAAAGGCACTTTTTTTTTTTTATTTCTTTTCTTTTGGTTGAAGTAGAAAGAATTGCGTGTGAACAGAATTCAGTTAAATTTTCTTCAATGGGACCATATTTGTCAACATTATGAAGAACATTGGAATAAAGAATCGATGACAAAATAACCTGCACTATCATGTAAATGTGCTATTAAACTGTACATGTGTATGACGTCACATGTGTAAACTTGCGTGAAGGTTGGTGGATCTGAATATAAATAACGACATAGTGACAGAGACAATGCTTTAATATGGATTCATAGCAAACAGCAGCAAATAAAATATGTGAACCTAGATTACTATTAATAAAAGGTCCACAGAACAATGAGGCGGGGGATTTTTACCTGTCGTCTTCGTCTTCAGGATTTCCTCCTTCTGCCTGATCTCCACCGCCCGATTCATCGCCTTCCATTGGTTCCACTGCGTTTTCAGTGAACTCCTCGCCATTTTGTTGTTCAATCTGCTCGGTTTGGGGAGTTTCTTCATCTGCCATTTTTAAAACTGTTCTTTCTTTACACAGGGCGACTTCTTCGTACAAAGGACTCCAACAAAATGGCTGCACCATAGCGTGGTCGGCTGAAATACCGATATCTGATTGGACAATAGAAAATTGTACCAAAGCACATATTTATTTTATTTTTGTTTTTAAATTCCTACAACAACAATCAATGCCAGTTTTTATTAGAAAATTTAATAGTTGCAATTTAATTATTATGAATCTTTATTGAAATTATATTTAAAATGTCGAGTTCCGGTGATTTCCGGAAAAAAACCCGAGCTAATATGTTTTCGCCCTTTGTATATTCGTCCCTATGAAGTCACAAACAGACGATCCTTGATCTGGGACCTTCTAAAACATGTTATATAAGTTCCAAGCCCTGATTGACTCCATAAAAATCAGCATTTTATATCGTTTCATTAAAGTTATCTATGTTCAGGATATATTTGTACACGGTAAAAGCATTTATTTAGTCTATTCTTTGTCTCTCGAAAATTTATTTTCAATTTTGTACATATTGAAATCCTGCATTTCGTTGGCTAAAATTTTTCAATTTCATTCTGTTCTGGGCAAGGTCAGGTTGCTTATTTTCACTTCTAACCAGGCCACTATATTTATTTTTTTATGGGTGTTAAATCATCACGGTTATTTTAACTGCAGATTTTATATAAAAAAATGAAAAATAGATAACTAAAACAACCTTCAAATAAAATCTGCTATCCGATAAGAACAGTAGGACTAGGTTATGTAATAAACCAAAGCACAATAAGTACACAATACACGTTTTTGTATAAAGAAACAACGTTTTCCTTACAATTAAAAAACATGATAAATATGAAAAATACATACATGTAACAGATTAAGTATATTTTAAGATTAAGTTAGGAAAAGACCAACCAATTCCATTCAACTCTACCCTGGAACTAAATTCAGAAACTACAGATGCTGCTAAGCCTGCCTCATATCTTGACTTATATCTAGAAATTGACAATAAGGGTCGGTTGTGAACAAAACTTTACGACAAAAGAGATTATTTCAGCTTCTTAATTGTGAACTTTCCATTTCTATGTAGCAACATTCAAGCAGCGCCTGAATATGGAGTATATATCCTCAGTTGATACAGGGCTTGTGTTTCCTATCATGTGATGTCTTTGATAGAGGGTTGTTACTCACAAGGAAGCTATTAAACCAAGAGTTCCAAGTGGTGAAGTTGAAATCATCCCTTCTAAAATTTTACAAACGCCATCACGAGTCAATTGACCGTTACGGAATATCTGTTTCACAGATGACGACAGATTTATTCTAATCATCGTAACCACAATCCCGCCCTTCTTTTCACTGAATGTGACCTACCAAATTAGACTTTCATGGGTTTGTACTTAAATGAGCAACACAACGGGTGCCACATGTGGAGCAGGATCTGCTTCCCTTCCGGAGCACCTGAGATCACCCCTAGTTTTTGGTGGGGTTCGTGTTGCTCAGTCTTTATTGTTGTCTATGTTGTGCTTTGTTAACTGTTGTTTGTCTTTGGCATTCTTCTTTAATTGTCATGGTGTTGTCAGTTTATTTTCGACTTATGAGTTTGAATGTCCCTTTGGTATCTTTCGTCTCTCTTTTTAAACTCTCAATTCATTTTCATGCACCTGTTGCTAGTACGGCTTGTTTATTTTCATTTTTGTAAACTACTATTTCTGGCACTCTCTTGCATTTTGTTCGTTTTGAATAATCATACTCGTCCTGTCTTGTGCTAATTCGATATTTGTTTCCAATTATCAGCAGGCCAGAAAATTCGTTTCGAAAATCCTCCTTTCCCCTCCCTTAAATATCAAATGGGTTGCAGAGCTGACAGTATAATAGCGAAGAACTTTGGCGATAATCGGAGAAGAAAAGAAACTTCGTGTTATCCTATGCAATATTGTTACTGATATATAGTTGCAATGGAAACATAGCTTGTGTAAGAATGTAAAATCAGTGCTTGATAATTGTGGAATATCAAATATATGGAAAACTGAATATATTTACTCATTTTTGAAGTAGCAACTGGTTGTATAATACTGTTAAATTATGATTAACTGACCAGTTTAGTTAATTATGGTCTGCCACTCTATAGAACTCTAAAAAAAAAGCTCTAAATTATAGATTATTCATAAACAGTCTAAATTGTGAAACCTACTTTAATATTCTAGATGACAAAAACCTTTTGTAGATTTAGAAATTTGAACACAAAAATTCCTACTTAAATTGGTAGATGACAAAATATTCAGAAGGAAAACCGTATTTGTTTTTATGTAATTTCGGTGATATTGGCAAAGAATCCTTATATTTTGGCATGTTCAGCAGTAGACGAAAGTAGACGAACGGTTTTAAAGCACTAATTTGTAAACAGACTGACCAAACATTTATAATCTAGATTATATTAATGAATAGCAACAATCCGTCTAAACTAAACAAGTTGTGCAAATTTATATACGATACGTAACGAATAATTATAGAAGGCCTAGAATCTCTTGGGTAACCAGTTTATGTCTACTTTATAATTGTATTTATATTTTATACTATGTATGTTAACTTTGTTTATTTGTATATGTCTCTATACCATTATACTTTGGTAACGAGAATGAATTAAGATAGTCTACTTCAAAAGAGGCGAAGGATACCAAAGGGACATTCAAACTCATAAGTCACCGCAAATAAAAAAAAACTTATGATAAAGAAATGAAAATGGAAAAAGGAGGTGTGGCCCGTGCCAATTTTTGCGAGACCGTAACCGTCATGGCGTGCGGGTTTACCGTCAGGCGGAAGTTAAGGCGCATGACAGTATTTCTATACCCCCGTTTACCCATATGGTCTCAGATTATGTAAATAATGTTTGGTGTCTATAATGATTGCAAAGTGTGTACATGTTCGTTCGTTCGTTTGTGAGTGAGTTTTATTTTAATAGGATAGCACAGTTAGAACCATGCAACAAAGCTAATCGTCCGGCTGAGGCCCTCAAACAATAATTCTAAAATAATTAATATTCATTGTTAAAGTCTATACACAATATATCTTTGGTGAAATAAAATGCAGTTTCAACGATTTTCTGGCTTATCTTTACATTAGATATGTTGTAAATATTGGGCATGGGAACAAATGAATTTTCATTATTTGACGATCTAAAAGAATATTTTGTAAAATAAGATATCACATAAATATGGAGGAGCATTACTATCCATACACTTAAAACATTAAACCCCCCTCGTGATATTTCAATGTTGAAGTGTATGAATAATAATCGGCATCTTCATATATAGTTCATCGATCAACGTAGATTTCTGTAACGCTACTGGTATTATGACAACGATCTCAGGCATACCTAGCTGCCCGATGTTGGAAACAGACTCTAATTAAGGTGTGGTTGAGAAGAATGTAATAATATTGTTTGATTGGAGTTTTCTTGTTTGAAGCAGTGAGAACTGTACATTTGCCAGGATGGAAAGCCATCAACCAGTCTTTATTCACACCTCGCTGCAGCATCAAGATCTTCTTGAAGGCTATGACGATCTTTTTTATTTGATAGTTTTGTACATGATGCTGTCATCTGCGAACAGTCTGAGTTTACCAAACTGGTAGGTCATTTATGTTTATGTGTTGAAGGCCGTACTTTGACCTATAATTGTTTACTTTTTACTTGGATGGAGAGTTGTCTCATTGGCACTCATACCACATCTTCTTATTTACATAACTTGAAAAGAACAGGAACCAGGAATTTTCCATGTGAGCACCAGAAGTAAGTTAACCGGAGCAAAATCTGATTACTCTGTACCTAGGACTACTGTTTTGCGGTTTGATAAATAGGGCGGATATCAACTTCAATGTTTCATTTTGTATTCAATAAAATACGTTTGAATAAGAGTCTTTAATAAGGGACTTTGTCAAGATATATCTTAAAAAAAATCAAAGATTTTTAATAAATCATGAGTCACAAAATCTTGAAATCTATTTCATCATTTGTCATAATCCAAATTAATAATACGTTGACATTTCCACCTTAAGTTTTCTTTGACGGTTTCGCTGTCACTGTAAATATGTGAATAACATTTGGTGTATACAGACATATATATATTTATATAATCATTCATGTATTATATTCGCTGGATTCTCTCGCTGGTGTATAGAATCATTGTAAGGTCTGACAGGAATCATCTGATTTTAGCCTTATGCTCACAGTTCATTGAAAAAATATGAAAACATTTATTTTATTCAATTAAGGATTTATAACTAACATAACTAGTATACGTCCTTGATTCAATTAACTCGAGGAGTACCTACGGTGGAAAGTCAAACACACCTCTTTTGACGGTTCCAACCGGAAATCACCGTGCGCATGTTTACTGTATCCAAGCAACATTGGAACTGTTTCCTCTCTTGCAATATTTGCTGTATTTGGAAAGCAAGTTTATAAAAATACATGGTAATTAACTTATTTGTGAATATACTAAGATTATCAATGTTTCTTTTTATGTTGTAGCAAAGTCACTTTATTTGATGTAAAAATCAGTGTGGGGCTACAGGTGAACACTGACAGGGTATGCCTAGCTTGTTTATGTTCTGAGTTGTTGTTATATATATGTTTTTGAACCGATCCAATTATAATTTTTGTAGATATTGAACGATTATTCATATCAATCTATAGCACTGTGTTTTGTAAATATAATCATGTATAGAAGAAACCATATGGGAGAGACGGATGAAAGCGCTATTCTGTCCTGTACTGCTGTAGATAACACGTTAACTTTGCAATGTTTGGGAGATTTTATTTGAGACTTAATACTGGTTTGATTAACTTCAATAATCAATTGATTAACCTTTCTTTTATACATGTACATGTGTAGTTGTCTATCTCCTATTTCCAGTGAAGTTTATCTGGTTAGGCAATATTGATTTTTGTAGACATAGTGTGAAAAGAACAGTTGAAGAATTTACATTGTATAAATACTTCTCAATTACCATTGGTAAGAAAAATTACAAGATAAAAATTTACAAAGGAGTATACTAGCAATTCAGGTTTGAAGTTTGATCGTCTGGTTGTCTGTATTGTGAAGCTCCCGCAGGTTCAAAAACGACCTGCGACCTCCGGGCTTTTTAGAAGCGACTTTCGACCTGAGGGCCTTCTAAAAATGACCTGCGACCTGTAAAATTTTGAAAAAACGACCTTGGACTTCACCCACGCCTTGCCATTTTGGGCGCAATGTTTTCCTTTGTGGTCCTTTGTCGCCATTTCGGTTATTTGACAGATTGGCAAAACGGCGCGGTTACTGGTTCTCTGTGGTCACCAGTAGAACTAGATCAGGAAGAACAATCGGCTGGCATCATGACCAGATCTGATAAAATAAAATGCCCAAATCACATGTCTGTTATTAAACATAAACTGCTGACTGTTGGTCCCACCAACCATAGTCAGCCTTACTGTTTTTCTGGCCATCTGTCACACTTTTGTCTACTTTATTATACTCCACTACACGCAGTAGAGAAGTATTACATGGTTGGGTATCCGTCCGTACTTCCATCTGTGTGACCGTCCCATGGTGGTATCCAGATGAAAACTTGAGAACGGATCAAAGATTTATTTCATTTGTTCCCAAATGTTTAGCACTATAAAGTACAAGTTAAGTTCGATTTTCATCTTAAATCAACATGCAGTTTTCAAATAGTCAATTTTGAACTATTTGTGACCCTTTTTGTATCTATAGTCGGTTAGAAGTCTTCGTTTCTTTGTTTCTAGAGCCTGATAAGCTATCAAATTGTCAAGTTATGATCATTTTTGGACCATTTTTGTTGTTTAAAAAAGATTAAAGTTGGTCTGGGTTATTGCTTCAAATACACTATGGACACTATGGGCGATGGTCATCACTAGAGCATAGGGCACTAGCTACTAGCGTCTCTGTGTCTGCTCCAAAGAGACAAATGTATCCAAGTAAGGTTGTTGATCAGTTTCATGTTTTATGTCCCGACAACATTGTTGCGGTAAATATAGTTTTTCGGTCTGTTCGTCCATCCGTTCGTTCGTCAGTTACACTTTGGTTTACCTTTGCGTTTAAGATGATTTCCTAAAAAGTTTCAAGTCGAATCTTCGTGAAATTTTGTACCGTACTCTTTATTTATCCTGACATGGACTAACAACTGTGTAAAAATGGGGGAGTTCCATCGAAAATGGAAATAAGCGCAGAGCGGGACACCTCTGTCTTCAAGACATTTCCTTGTTGCCATCAGTCTATAGATCGTGTATATCTCAGTAGGTAAATCCAGCTCTACATCCCTGGTGATTTTATAAGAGTTCTGGGGACTTGCTCAATATGAATATTGTGTTGGATTAGTGAAATACTGAATGTTTGATTGAAACTACTGTTCTGAAAAATCGAAAAGTTCAAGTCCTGTTTTGGTCTCAATATGGAAAAGAACGGATATGGGTTAATGGCACGAAGACATCACATATTGATCATTAAATGCCACACAAAAATAAATCTAGAGCTGACGACACGAATTTTAATAGATCAGGAACTTCCCACTTACAGATAGCCATCTCTGGATGGCCTCAAACAAAACAAGAACAACCGAACCCAAGGGCACAGCAAAATGTCCAAATATCTTATTTAAAACTAAAAGGTTAAATCAGGAACATATATGTCCCTGGTTTAATAACACAAGAATCGACACAACAATGACTTAAATGGATCCTTTAAATATAAAAACGACTTCCGACCTCTATGTTGGAAAAAAAACGACTGGCAACCTGTACATTTCCCTTAAAAACGACCTCGCGACCTTGCGACGAATTTAAAAGCCACCTTGCGACCTGAGGGGGGTACCCTGTGGGAGCCCCTATTGTGGCAGAGAAGACCTAAGATTTATTAAGTTCAGTACTTTATTTGCTTAAATAAGGTAAATCAATTTATAACAAGCAAGATTCTAAAATCATTAGTACATCAACAATACATAACCTAACTTCGATGTAGCAGTATTTTGTAAACAAAAAGAGAGCACCATAAACATGAAGTTATTAAATGAAGTCTGACAAAATTTAGTTTAATGGCAATATTATAAAAAAAAAAATGGCTAAGGCTTGCAAAAACTAAACCTGCTACACACTACTGAAATAATGCTGTTTTTTTCTATAAAACTAATTAAGTTACAATAAATTAGGAATATTTTGCAAATTCATGCCTTGAATAAATTATTTCATACTAAAATTTCAAATGTCAGTCTTGCATTTTATTCAAAGAACTTGTTGGTTTATATTAAAATCTGGGCTTCTTAAATTCTTGTGCTTCCTTTACAAATATTTTAACATAAATAATGAATAGATTTAAGTCATATGAAAGGAGTCTATTGAAATGATAATGTTACGGAAGTTATTGGACCAATCAATGTATATATTACTAAACTAAGTTTCCTAGGTATGATTTTTTTGCATTTACAACAAAAAATGTATAACAAAATCAAGAAAAACTACTTCATTCAGCGAAAACTTGGCCTGCTAAATAATTTTCGTGTATTATTGTTGAAGTTTACTGAACATGACCTTATGTAATAAACAATCAACACAGAATCATGGAGCACATGAAAAATAAGTGAGGTGATAGACATGCAATAGAGCAATGTTTAATTTTTTTTTCATATTTTCCATTCATTTCTATTTGTTAATTAAACTTTGTCATAACAGTTGTTAAATCATTTGGTGTATTGAAACTTTTTTTCAGAATCAAATAACACTAACTTCCACTTTTGTTTACCTTTTCTTTAATCAAGGTTTTCCCCTTGAACTTGCGCTGTAGGGTTGTTGAAGTTCTTACTAGAGATCTCATGTTTAAGATCACTGCATATGGAAAAGCTATCAGCGAATTAGAGAACGAGAAGACAACAATTCAATAGCAGTACATTTCTGAAGATTTTGATAAGATAAAGGATTTTCTTTTAAAGAAAGTCAATTTACACATGATTTTTAGTAAAACAGTGCCATTCAACTTCAAGTAACTGTATATAAAACATATTGAACTTTTTTTGGCATATTAAACATGGTGGTTTGTATTTAAATATCTTTTAGGTTTTAATCCACATATTTTACACCTTTGAATAATTTGAAAAACTTTCTTAAAGTCAAAGAATACATTAGGTTTGTCTTTGCATAAAGAGGCTGAAACTTGATTCCTGTTCACTTATTTTGACATTTATATATTTTTCATTTTATATTTGTAGATTTTAAGATGTCAGCTGCTGTGGCATCAAACCATTTAGAACATGACATAAGAACACTTGCACAAACTAAGAGGATTAGAGTTACAGAATTCTTTCAAGATTTTGACAAACTGAGATCAGGATTCATAACAGGTTATTTTATTTATCAATTTCACCACCCTCATAATATTCCAGAATTTATTATACATTACTTTAGTCTTGAATCTACTTCAATCTTGAATAGGGTAGTGTAGGAAAGATAATCAAGTTCATGTTTTAATTAGTTAGTTGGACTTGGAACAGTCTTTAATATGCCAAATGATGGGGGAACATTGTTTAACAGTAAACTAACATCTGTTGAGCAGCCTAAACAAATTGTAAAATTGATGATGAATGCTGTGAATAGATTTTGGAATAAGAAAATGGATGATATTAGTTGATTAAAAAACTTTATATAAATTTTGTCTTTTAATTGTTTTCATAAGTAAGTAAAAATTACATTGATCTTTAAAAACACTTACAGTGACTAAAATTGTATTGCTATAACAAACAAACTTTCTTTTTCAGATCAGCAATTTTTTCGATGCTTATGGCAAACATTAGGCTTGAAGTTAGATACAGAACAGGAAGCTGTCTTAAGACAAAAATATGACTTTTTGAGAAATGGCAGATTTAATTACAAGGCATTCTGTGAAGAAATAGATAGAAACTTTAATCCACATGATTTAACCAAAGATCCTGCCAGGCAGAGAGTCGAAGCTCCTGAATTGTAAGCTCCTCACATTAGACCTACTAGCCCAAACAGCCAGTTAATTTTATATTTTATACATATGTACTACTATTTTCCAGATATTCAGTTTGTTATATCTTAGAAAGTATAAAAGTTACATAAATCATTATTTTCGATGTTTATGTGCAGTTCCTCATGCTCTAGTTGCATGCAAAATTTCGTAAAATTCTGTGAGAATGCCCATTTATGTTAACCTGTTACATGAAACTAGCATATTTATCCATTAGATTTACAGCATTGTAAAAGTTCCTCTATCTGTGAGCCCAGTGTGAGGTAGCAATTTTAATAGATTTATAGGTTAATACAAACCATGAATTTTTTCATGTACATACTCTTTATTGATTTGTTAAGTAGAAAGTCTGAAACTGTGAATTTGAAAATCTACAAGTCCATCAATTCATGTGACTTTTAAAAAATTAACAAACATTTGTGATAATGTAAATTTGTGGTCATGAAAATGCTCAGTTTTAGATTATTAACATTTCTGTGATGTAATATTGCTTTTTCAATTGTAGCCTGGGAACCATAAGAACAGTACGTCCATTGACTCCAACTCAAGAAGATGTTATTTTGGGGGTTTTGAGTCGTATGCAACAGTTTTATCAGTACCATGGAATCAACCTGAGAACCTGTTACGAAGACTTTGATCGTCATCATATGGGTGTAGTTACAGAAAGTCAGGTACCTAGCTTGATGACTTATACCTCTTGGAAACTTTTGCACAAAAGATAATGTTCAGAAAATGGGAATTTTTGTCTGCATTACTGGTACTCAGATCATTAAGAGGGTTAAAAAAATTTAAAGTCATTTTGGCTCAGAAATGAATTTAAAACTATCATAAACATTAGTATTGATATATTTTAAAAGTCAAGACCTGCAATATTTTAAAATTTTTACTCCCTTCTAAAGTGGTTTGTCATAGATGGAAAGGTAAAAACTTCAAAGAAATTTTGATAGAGATCTTTATGGTCATGGTAAATTGACATACATTACAGAAATTAAATTCCTTATAATTTTGATAATTACAAATTTATATAAATATATGTTTATGAATGCAAAAATGATAACCTTTTTTCATCAACAGTTTTACAGAAGTTTTCCTGGTCCTCCAGATGTGAGTGAGGGTGAAATCGCATTATTAGTGAACAAATACAGAGATCCTAGCAAACCAGGACTTCTTAACTACTTAAACCTTCATCATGATATTGTGGCCATCACTGGACAAATAGCAAAACAGAAGCAACTTACACCAACATTTGAAAGATCTGTGGATTATGTCCCATTGCAGGTATTTGAATTATAATTACGCATTTTAAAAACGTCGCTTGCATACGAATTTTCACATTCAATGTGTACATTTAATGCTGCTATGTCAGTTAAATTTTGAATACAATACCATATTATAATTAGTAGCCATTATAGTCAAGCTTTTATACTAATATTTGTATCATGGTATCAAAAGGTTAAAATTAATGGGTGATTGGTGTTTTTAAATAACTTTCCTTAGATTGATTAGTCGATGCTTTTCTACCCTGTGTTTGCATGCAATCATTTTATTAAAGCAAGAAGAAAGCTATATAAAAAATTTTATACGACCGCAAAAATGTTTTTTGGTTCGTATAATGCTATGATGTCGTCGTCCGAAGATACATTTGGTTTCCGGACAATTACTTTAGTTTATGTGAATGGATCTCTATGACATTTTACAAGAAGGTTCAATACCACAAAAGGAAGGTTGGGATTGATTTCGGGGGTTATGGTGCCAACAGTTTAGGAATTAGGGGCCAAAAACAAGCATTTTTGTAGTTTCCGGACAATAACTTGTGTGTAAATGTATGGATCTCTCTGAAACTGTACCACAAGGTTCCATATCACAAAGGGAAGGCTGGGATTGACTTTGGGGGTTATTGCCCCAAACACACAGGAATTGGGGCCAAAAACAAGCATTTTTCTAGTTTCCAGAAAATAAATTTTGTTTTAGTGTATGGATCTCTCTTAAATTGTACTACAAGGTTCCTTATCACAAAGGGAAGGCTGGGATTGAGTTTGGGGGTAATTACTCCAATGGGGGGAGGGGGGGTTCAAAAAGTTTGGGATGGGGGATTTTTTTTCAACACAAATTTTTTTGGGGGGTTCATATTATTTTTTCTTTTAAATTTTTGAAATTTCAAATTTTTTGAAAAGTTCCAAGAAGAAATCTTCAATTGCACAGTATTGAGCAATCCAAATTCAGACAGTATTAAGCTTGAATATTGTGTCCAAACTTACCCCAACTGTTCAGGGTTCGACCTCTGCGGTCGTATCAGGCTGCGCTCATCAAAGCATTTTATTACACATTGCTGAAATAAAAAAAAATTGCTGTGGGAAATACCCCATACAATTTATTTCTAAAATAGTCCTTAGTTCATCATATTTTACTGTCATTTGTAGCCAACTTCAGATCCAACATTGAACCAGATCTTTGATAAGATCAGAGTTGCTGTTTACAAAAATGGGATCCGTACAAAAGAATTTTTCAAGGATCATGATAAATTAAGGAGTGGCATTATAACAGAGAACCAATTTATATGTGGACTGGCCCTTGCTGTGGGAAAGGAAGCTCAGTTATCACGACCAGAGATACAGAAAGTTGTTGAGTATTACAGAAGACAGGATGGGCGTGTACAATATAAAGAATTTTGTGATATGATGGAAAATGGTAATTAAAAGATCAACAACAAAAAATGAACAATGTTATTTGTATTCAAGTTATTGATTTTGTATATTATTTGATTTATTTTTATTCATATTTTTTCTGAATTTTGATAAATTTCGCCAACCATTTGTTCATGATTATTTAATCTGCAATTGACTTTTTTGATATTAGTCACATTTATTTCAAAAAATTTCCATAAATGTTTTTAAAGTGTATTAAAATACCTACCTTAGAAATTGCTTTTTTTGTTTTTGTTATGTAGTTGGGTAGCTTTTTAATTGATGTATATATACCACATCTCCTTTAATTCACGTTTAAAATTAGGTTTTTCAAATGTTGAAAGGTAAATTTATACTCATTTTACTTATTTGTTATTTTCCAGCATTTAACATACCAAATCTTGACAAGAAACCATTACAGGAAGTGATCAGACCAGGCAGAGGAGCACTTGCTAGGGTAACTTTCTTTTTAAACAGGTTTCAATTCAGAATGTATAGAAATTTGGATTTAATTGGATGCAACAAGATTGTCTGGAAATAGAACAGTGAACTCAGGGTTTATGATTGCTTCTTACATTTTATAAAAATGTAATTTTCGGTGACTTATAAAATGTCCAAGGTTTCATATTTTTTGTACAGCATATTTGAAACGCTGGAATTTGGATACCGAATTTAAAAAAAAAAGGATGATCTCAGCCTATAAGTATGCAGCATCTTAGGTTTTATTGAATAACAATGTTTTTCGCCTGATTCTGAAATTAATGGGGTTTTTTTTCATTTGAAAATACAAAGTTGTCAAGATTTTATTTTGTGCATTTATATGTAGTTGAATAAAGATCAGTTACACATCAAGTTTTTGAAATACTTTTAAATTGATTATTAGTCTTTATGACACTTAAAGTTTGAAATATTCTAGAAAATTATACTTGTCTCCACTATTTTGTCATGCATGTAGAGAAAAAGTAAAATCACAAAAATTCAATCGGAAAGTCCCTAATCACATGGCAAAATCAAATGACAAAACACATCAAACGAATGGACAACAACTGTTAGAATGTGCTAATTATATTACATGAATAATGATCAGATGCAGTGTGAGTTTTGTCTGTTCTTTTTCCTTCGAAATCAAAAATTGAACAGTTGTGTAATGATGAGTTACTGGTCAATTTACATTTTATAGATTGAGATACAATTAAATAAGATTTTTCCATCATTAGCTAACCATACTCCATTCTTACTGTAAAATGTGTGAATCATTGTTTTACAGACTCTTAAACCACTGACAGATAATGAGGAGGCCAGAGTGAACGTTGTTTTGTCAGAAATAGCAGAACAGGTTAGACGCAGACGACTGATGATGTACACATACTTTAAGGATTACGACAGGGTAAATACACAATTAAATGAAATACTCACATCCAGTTAAACAAAACATGTTCTTTTTAAAAAAGATGTGGAGAATTAATATATTCAATCGAGGAGATAAAGCACTTAAGACTACCATTCAAACAAATAATACAAGTAGATAAAGTTAGAATATGTACAGCAAAGAAGTAGACAATCTAGACAATAAATGAAAATTCAAGCAAAAGAAGATTTACGATGTTCAATTCTCATTAATGGATTAAGAAGACTAATCAAGGTAAAAACAAACAAAAAATGAGGGAATCAACTGAACTCCAATAAAGAGTGAGATTGGATGTAAAAACATGCACAACATCTGTCCATAAAAAATAAGATGAGTAGGTAAACTAAATGTAAAACTTGTACAATTATTATCCACACAAAAAATTAACCAAATAAAGCATGTAATAGTATATTCCACAATATAAGATGGAAATACAGCCTTGATATGAAACATGAACAACTACCATCCAGATAAAACAACAAAACAAAGTAAAACCATTAACTAAAAATTTCCATAAAATATATGCAACTATGTCACACAATTAGACAAGCAGATTAAAGTTGTTTGATATAAAACATATTAAACTACTATCCAAACAAAAAAAAATCAGACAGACCCAAGAGTAGATTAAGCTTTAAATGTTTTCTGTTGTTATTAGGAGTGTGTCACATTTATTTCCAGTTAGTTTTGTTTCATAATGATATCAAATAATATGCCTTTATGAGAGAACTTTGAATGATATTTTTAGGGAAAGGCCTATACTAGAGTTGTCACACCATTACAGTTCGGAAGAATTTTACATTTCTTAAGTTTAAATGTAACTGCAGAGGATATGAAGTTATTATGTAAAAAGTTTGAAGACCCTGCCAGTGGTGATGTAAATTATCCAGCTTTTGTACAATGTGTAGATAAAGGTTTGTTAAAAGATCATCTTTTTAAAATTAATAAAAACAAAATTTGATATTATAATTTACTGTTGTCTGTAGTATTTGCTATTAAATCTTATCATATGTTGCTTAAAACAGTGCAAATAGTTTACAATAGTATTCAATTTCATGCAAGCCTTCAGCAAGGTACTAATGATCTTTCACTTAAGATCCAAGAATTATAGTTAGAGATTGCTCTGACATTAATTGTCATGTTTTTTCTCATGTAGCATGCTAAATGTGTTTTAACACCTACATTTGAAATCTATTTTTTATTTAGAATAATTCCTCTGAATTTTCTTGAAATAATGTAATGAATAAAATGAAAAATTAAAACTGATAGCACTGAAGTTTATTTTTTAAACAAGTATTGAAAACTGACCTTTAAGAAAGTAAATAATAAATTATGTAAATATTTTATGAATTTTTCAGAATTTGTTGGTCACACTTTGGAAGATGCTGACATATCAGAAAAGGGGCGTACTAATACAAATGCACCAGAGAAGACTTTAGAGCAGAGCCTCAGTAATGTCTCTTTTGAGGATTTGATGTCAAGAATTAGACATATAGTGCTAACAAATAGACTCAGGGTAGGTATTATTTTTTAATTTATTTATTAATATAAATGACAGCATAAAAAGATTATAACAAAGTTATAATCACCTGTCATAACATTCTGAATTATTCATTACAGCTTGTTAGTAGTTTTCTTTCTTTTGAATTTTAATTCAATTTTAAGGGATACACAAAGTTGAATTTAAGCATTGTTTATATTTCTATATTACATGCAAATCTTCTGGTATTTAATTAGTTTGTGAGTGAGATGGTCATATTGATAACACAAATTGCTTCTACAGAAACAGTTGATAAAATGCAGGAAAACCAAACTGAATATTCAAATTCACATCATTGGCATGATTATCTCCCCTGTGACAGTTTGGCTTTGTGAAACTATTCTCTATAATTTGTTTAAGTCAAATAACCTTAGGTATCAAGATAGAGTTATCCATATCACATGCATCAAGACATTTGAACACTAATAAATTATTTATGTCAAAGGATTTCTGTCTGACCAAGTATTGAATATTGCATAATGTGAGACTTAGATCAGCTGTATTTGGTCTATAGAATCTTTGTAAGGTTTACATGTCTGTCTTTTAGGTTCAACATAACTTAATCTCATTTTCATGGGTAATGATCGAAATTTAAGTTTTAATGAAACCATGAGAGAAGATCTTGATATCAATGACTTTTTAACATATTAATATATATAGTCATAACAGTGTGTTCACTCTTTCTTTACTATTATTTACTGGCTTATAATTTTGCAATATATTTTTTTATTTTTAAAGGTGAATGAATTTTTCCAAGATTATGATCCATTAAGAAGTGGATCTATCAGTAAGACACAGTTCAGACGTGGTCTAGGATTACTTGGACTGAGTAAATTGGGAACCCATGATTTAACAGATGGTCATTATAGAATCTTAATTGATGCCTACCAAAGTCCTGATAAAGAAGATCAAGTGTTGTGGACAAGGTTTTTACATGATGTTGAAACAGGTGAGAAATCTATTATTGTGGATAATATTTTTACATTAGGCTGAGGAGAAATCAAGTGTTTTCAAGGTTTTTACATTAGCGTTGAAACAGATAACAGTAATCAAGTGTTATATTTAACTTTGAAAAGGCTAAAATTGTTTTCACAATCATGCACAGTTATTACTGTATAATACTGTGAATTCATTAGTATTTGTCAAGTACTAAATTTCATTGAATAATTGGTGTTAATGAGTCATTAATTTCAGATTTCCTTACTTGTATGGAAATTTTTCAGACCTTGAAATCGAAGTACCCACAAAACTAATACTTTTCACAAACACAAAATAAACGAATCGAAGTTAGATAATTTCAAAAGAAACATGACAAAATCAGTGTTCCAGCTAGGTCGTTTTCACAGGGCGGTCTGCCCGCCCTTTCCCGAGGAAACCACCCTGTGCCCTTTTTCTGACGTCCTGTGCCCTTTTTAAGACGCCCTGCCCTTTTTCGTAAGTCCATGCCATTATTGCCGTAATATTTTGATGAAAATACAATTATTCTACCTGTCTTCATATTTATGACAAATTTATGACCCTCAGCTAATTAACATTTACAGCAGGTGTAATAAGTTGTGATTACAGATAATCCGTTTATCGACATCGGATGGGTCATTAATCCGTTAATTAAACTTCATAATTGACCATTGTAATAATTTTTCTCATTAAATTCGGTCAGTCAGCATTTCAATTTCAATATTTCTCAAAAGATGACAATTTGCATTTGATGTATCCGTAGATTGTCTGTTGTTATGTCAAAGATTTTTTTTTTTAAATAGATCTTTTAAACTAGTTTTAATCCAGAAGAAAGTAAAAACAATGCTTGACTGTACCTTTCATTGAATATCTATATCCAAATTAAATTAATTAAAGCTGTAATCCATGATCACAAATTGACTGCTTTGTTTACATTTGTTGAAAGCCATGTGCTTTTTTGGCGGGAAAATTCGGAAAAACCCCTTTAACAAGAAACAGTTACATTTCATTATTTATAGACAGTAAGATTTTCATTTTGATTAACTGCTAAGATTATTTCATTAAAAATGAATACTTTCTTGGGGTGAAACTGATAATACTTTAATACTCTACATCTAGGGGTGTGTAAAATGGAAAAAGGGGGGGGGGGATTTTTTATATATGTTTTATATATAATATTACAAATATAAGTTTAACAGTCTGAAAAGACATGGTTAAATGGATTTTAATTCTGAAAAACTCAATGTGGTTTATTGTAATTCATTTATTATTTCTACCATAATCAAAAACACTGGGCTACATGTATAGGCATTTCAAACATATATATATTGCCTTTATAAGAACATTCAAGACTTTAATAAGTATGTACCTGTAGTAAAAATACCCTGGTAGGGCCTTAAAATTTCTACTGGGCACTTGGAAAAAAGTTTTGGGATCCAGGTTGGCCCCTGGAGAAAATGTTAGGTATTGTTCCTGACTGTATTGCAGATCTAGTGTAGTATTTTAACTGACATTCACAATTCATTTCACTAATGAAATAAAAATAATTCTACAAAACACTGCTGCGCTCTGCATTGCAACTTAACCTTAGACCTACCATGGAGCAAAAATGTTCTAGGGAAGACTGAGCTAGTAATATACGTCCTTGCATGGTCCCTTTAATACTGTTACCCAAAATAAGGTTGATTTTCATCTAGCGTAAAAGTGACTGAACCCCTGCAGTTAACATAAGACAATGTTTGACATGCCCTTTTTGAAATATCAATCATCGTGCTAAAGTGCCCTTTTCATGATTGTCTCCCTGCCCTTTTGAAATCCTAGCTGGAACACTGAAAATGGTTGATCCATACAGATCTTTGGATCAAATTTTGTGATTTATTGTTAAAATACAAATTTTTGTTGTACCTGTAAACAGCTTTTTAGAGCCCTTCTGTTCTGTAGTTACATTCACAAAATTCAGCAACTCAATTGACCCTATGAATAAGATAAACACTGGTTTAGTGATAGTTATTTTCAGCTACTGTAGTTGGACTCACAAAAAAAAAGAGAATTTCCTTTGTAAAATATGATCAAGGGAGATAATTCATAGAATTTTTATTTAAGAAGAGTATGTGATTAATTAGTGAGGCTACAATGAACCTATCAAAAATATACAAACATAATTTTTTTTTATCCTCAGTATTTACACAGCCTTGTTTGGAAAAAGATCCAAACTTCCAAGTACCTCCACAGGAAATATTCCGTGTCCCAAAACCTGGTACTGTAGACTGGGACCAGAGTACCGAAGACCATCAAAGTATTTTTGAGGGAACCATGGATAGATTGCGGCAAAGAACAAATCAGAGAAGAGTACTGACAAAACCAGTTTTTCAGGACTTTGACCTGTAAATATTGATTTAAAAATCATTGATTTTCTTTTGGGAGGGGGCTGAAAATTTTTGTTTACAAAAGAAGAAGAAAAAAAACTAGTAAAACCATAACGAGAAAATATTTCTTTAAATTTTAATCTGTCCACCTTAATTTTGATCAAATGCTCCAAACTAAATTGTTTATCACTTTGGTGACTTTATAATTAAAAAAGAATTGGCCTATTGTCAGAGAAAAATATAATAGTTTAATATAACTTAGATTTCATGTCACCGTGAATTTGGTTCAGTGTAAGAATCAGCTAGTGCACAAAAAACATGTAGTAAAACATTCAGGGCATTGTATCACCTTTCCACAAAAATTAAGTCATTTTGATCTATATTTCATGGTTTAATGACAAATTTTACCTCCAAGTTCAGTTCTCAGATACTTGAGTGACACAACAATCATTAAACATGGTGTAAGGATGCATTTAGGGAAGTTTCAGAGCTGTTGCCAAAATTATGTCACTTTTACCTACGTTTGAGGCTTCAGTGACTTTTTTTAAGATTTCTGTTTAAGTTCAGTTTTACAAAGTTGCTTACAATCTTAAAACCTTATGTAGTGATGGAACGATGTGAGCATAACTGCTTCCCACCATAATTATGTCACCATTAGGGGTTTTAAATGAATCCCTAACTTTTTACATCTTGAGTTTAATCTTTTTATGCGTGGATCCCATGGATGACATCGATCTTAATCCCATTTAAAGCAGTTGTTATGACTTTATTTCAGTCCTCTTTACATTGACATGTACTATTATTCCATAACAGTTATACTGATTATATAAGGTGTGAAACACAATAAGAAGAATGTGACAAACTTCGTAATCAATTAAAACCTGATGCATCTGTTTTCATTGAGTTATACTAATGTAACTATGTGTCTGCAGTACATATATACATATGTTCTGTTATTTTAGACATAATAATGGCCATGTGACCAGGGTCCAGTTCAGACAGTGTTTAACAATCCTAGAACTTCATGCTACAGAGCCTGAGATGGCATCACTGGAGGCTAAGTTCTGTAATGATGTTGGGTTTAACTACTTACAATTCCTGCAAGAGCTTGAACCAAGAGAACAACAGCAGTTTATGTATGAGAAGCGATTAGAAGAACTCAGACTTACTAATACATCAAAGAAATTACCTGAATTGAATATTGCTGAAGATTTAGAAGGAGTTATGATGAAAGTGAAGACTAAGGTAGTGTGTTGGAATTTGAATTTCCATGACATATTTGTACAGTTCAATCATTTTGGCATATTTAATCACTCTATTGAAATTATATGGTTCTTCAAATATGAAATTTGATCTCGATTTTAATGATTTACATTTTTTAAAGATCTTTAACGTTAGTCTCATTGAATAACAGTTGAAAACAGTTGACTTAAATATGATTTTTTATCCATTCTACAGGTCAGTAAAGAAAGAGTTCGTGTTCTGGAGTTCTTGAGAGACTATGACAAACTCAGGTCAGGAAGAATACTGAAGACATCATTCCGTCGTGCTCTTGATTTATGTAGATTTGAGTTAAAGGAATCAGAAGTCTGTATCCTGGAAGACAAGTATGTATATACGGTCATATAATATAAAAATCAGTCCAGTCAGATTTGTTTAAAAAAGAAAGCTATTAAGAAAATTTATAAAAATGTGACATTACCTCTCACATAGATGATTTCTGTATTTTCTAATTGTAAATAAATCACAGGGAAAAAAATTATTGCACCCAGCTGTACTTTGAAAACTTGTTTGGTATTGAATGTAAACCTTTTACTGTGTTGATCATGTTTAAAACCTTTACCAGGTATTTGGCATTGTTAAAATATCTTACATCTATATTACAAAGTTGGCCTTAAGATGGATTTGGCTATTTTTTTAGGTCCTATTTGATTTATAGCTCTTCAACGTTTCGGTCCTTATACATCCTTGGCTTTCAAATATTTGGCTTTGAGCGTTCCTGATGAAGGTAAATCCAGAAAAGCGCTTCGAACGCATGAAATTTATAACATGTTGTTTTCAATTTTTTTATATATAAGTCTTACATTATATTTTTTTCTCCTGTGTTTATTACAGATACCAATCACAGGGTTATCCAGATTTTGTAGACTATGTGAAGTTCTGTGATGATGTGGAGAGTATATTTACTTTCAAAGAACTAGAAAAAGCACCGTTACAGGAAGTGGTACAGTTCAAACCTCCAGAAGAATGGGAACTTAATAAACTAGAACCAGAAGCTGAATCACAGTTTTCAATGTGTATGGATAGAATTTCTGAAAAGGTGAGAACTCTAAGGTTTTTTTTTTACAAAAGAGGACCAGGGATGATAAGACTCTTTGGTCTGAATTATGATGGACCTCTTAAATTAAAAACTTAAATGAACGTGAGTAATGATTTTCAGTGTAAAGTCAAAAAATGTTTTTGTTACATGGTGTTTATATGAGGGACTTTGATGGACAGATTGAAAGCAAGGAGGAAAAGGGCTAATTTGAAACAATAGAAATGAGAGAGTTTATCTCAGTCACAAATCTTATGCTACCTGATAGTTAAAAACTTAGCAGGAAACTGAATGAATAGGGAACCCAGTTTAACCCTATCTACATTTTAAACAAGAAGACCTTTCAACAGAAAATAATGACTACTTCTATTTTGCAAATAAAATTTTATTACGCTGTTAATTAATTACATGTTGAAATAGTCTCTAATAATAAGGAATTTAAAAATTAGTGTTAAAGCATTATGAGTTTTTGTAATTGAAAATTGAGAGTGTTCTGGTTTCTTTTGAGAAAAAAAATATGTCATCTTTTGAGCAGAAATTTGAATGCCAAAGAATTTCAGACTCTTAGTCTTATTTTTTTACCTTCTGGTATACTAATATATGTTATTACCTTACAGGTGAGGAAACACAGAATGCAGTTATATCCCTTGTTCGAAGATTATGACAGGGTCCACAATGGCACAGTATCAAGATCACAATTCAGACGTGTTCTTAGTGAACTAGAGTTAGCCAGTCTGGTAAATGAACAAGAATTTAAACTCCTCTGGCACAAGTTTGATGTCAAAATCGGAGGAAAAGATGATGTTAATTACATTGCATTTTGTGAAATGATTTATGCTTTAGCCAAGTTTGAATGGAGGAAACCATAAAAATGTAAACATAGAAAACAAACAAGCATTAAACTGTGATAAATAATAAAATGAGAAAATAAAAGACAGTGAAGAAAAGTTATATTAAACTGAGATTGCTTAATGTTGAAACAATTTTATGAATGCATATTATGTTCCAAGTATCAGTATATAATGGATGTTGCAAATTACTGTTATTTCATTTCTTTTACTTTTAAATAACTAATGCCATGTTTATTTCTTTGCTTGATGTTTCTCAACTTTTCCAGAAATTAAGATTGTTCTTTTATCAGATTAAAAAGACATTGATTGTGGAAATGCTGCCAAATTTTTCTTCATTTTGTCAAAACAAGGTTTTTTATTATTGTTCTATAAGTTGTTGCTTCAAACAATTAATCACCTTGCTGTAAATAAGCATTGTCAATACAGAAACAAATATATTAGAAGCAATCTATTTTACATCAACTTTATTTTTACACTATTATATTTAAAATTTGTTTTATATCTAATAAATGATGTCCTTTGTATTATTCATTTTCATTGTGCCTCAACAAAATTTAGAGGACTATAAAAAAACCATAGTCTATGTCCATATGTGCACCCTCTAACATCTCTCAGAAAGTAATAACTATATAGTTTATATAATATTGTATGCAGATGCTGACAATATGCCATAAGGTGACGGTAAAATGGTTTTCAGTTTTTACAAATTTGTAGTTTTATATTTGAATTCAGTCTTAAGATGGTAATGACCTACACCATTTAACTTGATGAAAGAATGCATGTCTTAGATACTTAGTGACCTTAAATCTAATGACTGATGTAAGTTCTTCAATTGTCTGGTTAAGTTTTCTGGACAATTGATTGATTGTTGGTTTGCTTAATGTCCAGTGGCAAATATTTCATGCATGTTCAGGAAGAGAACAAATTAACAATAAATACAATAGGTAGGTCTTGTAATTGAGGCTGTCCGGGATTAGGTCGGGCAAATTTGGACTTTTCTGGACAAATTATAGTTCTCAACATTTAACATTAGGATGACAATATTTTGTTTCAAGGCTTATAATTTGGTAGACAAACATACATTTCATCTACCTTAGTCTCTTCAATGATGCTTGAATATCACCTAAAATTCCAAAATGTTGTTACAAATATGACTAGGGAAATTTTTTCCTGGGGGTAGAAAAACCTTAGTCAGTTAATGTTTCAAGATGTTCAATATTTTATAAAGAGTAAATTTATAGAAAATTAACATATCAATGATAGTTTATGTCAACACAAAAGTGCTGACAACTGGGCTGGTGATATAGCTGTCTATATATTTGATATGCCATCTCATATATATACATGTTTACCTTTTGATGTTGCCATGCTATTTTGCATATCTTGTAGTGTGATTTGCTGTTGATTGAAAGTCCAATGGCAAATATAACCTGTATATTCAGGATGATGACATCTTAATGAAATATGAACATTCCAAGCTTTTTAGTAGAACGACCTTTAACATGCTTGATGACAAATGACACTCTTCAACCAGACATACCCTACTTTGACACATTATTCCATCTCCAAGCTGATTATCCTTTGCTCTTATTAATAACATGTGCTTCATTAAGATAAGCAGCTTAAAACATCTTAAAGTTTCTGCTTTAACCTCCTTCACTAAAGGCCAGCACGAGACTACTGAGGTTGTCACCATATGATGACATTTGATCTACCATTATTTTATTTCAAAGTATTATTTTTATCAAGCCTTTGCGGAAAGTGACAAAACGCAAATCATAGGGGTGCTAATCTGGTGTCTGTGTAAAGTATTTGTGTAAATCTTTTTACTTCCGAAGGAAGATGAGCTAGATAATCCATATCTTTTATACAGATGTCTAGTGGTCTGAAGGTTTTTATCTGGCATATCTAATCTTATATCTCATACAAGTGAGAGGTTTAGCTAGCTTTAAAACCAGGTTCAATCCACCAGTTTCTACATAAGAAAATGCCTGTACCAAGTCAGGAATATGACAGTTGTTATCCATTCGTTTGATGTGTTTGAACTTTTGATTTTGCCATTTGATTAGGGACTTTCCTTTTTGAATTTTCCTCGGAGTTCAGTATTTTTGTGATTTTACTTTTGACCTTATTATAAGTTTCAACGACCTGAAAAAAATCTGAAATTTTTTTTTTTCATTGTATTTTTCTTAAGTATTATGAATTTATGAGTAATAGGTTGATATTATTTGGTATATAGAAAGTGTTTTGACCAGGAAATATCTGACAAGCTTCATCTGACCTTAACCTCTTGATGGTTATGTCAGCTTTTCAATTACTATGAATAATAGGTCAACTACATTATATCTCACTTATGGAATGGGTGGAGTACTGCAATGTCCTTTTCTCACTGTTCAAATGTTCTTAATTTCTGTTGCATAGTACTAAGCTTATGTTATAGTTTAATGGTTTGATATTTTGTTTATAACTTTATAATAATGAGAGATTTGCCATGTAAACAATTTCCCGATCTGTCCGAAAGACACTTCTATAGGAAACTTTGAATTTTAGTATATCCTATGGGCATGATACATATTACCAAATCTCACAAATTTAGGGTCATAATTGCCAAAATCCTTTAAAATTGCTTTTTTTCTTCTTAAACAACACTTTACAGCGTCAAAATTTGGTTCAGAAATGATGTTTAAAGACTGGTATTGTTATGTTATCGTATATGTACATGAAAGTAAAATCATTTTTAAACCAAATATTGACGCTGCAAAGTGTTGTTTAAGAAAATATCGATTTTACCTGCTTTCAGCACAAATAAGGATATAACTTTGCTTTAGTAAATAATTTAAAGGTGTACATTAGCGCACTATTTACGTTTTCATATTGTTCGAGGGGTGTTGTAAATATGATGTGGATACTGCAGAATTGCAAAGATCTGTTAGAGTACATGCAATCTAATTTTTTGTAATAGAGAGACAAAAGATAGCAAAGGGATATTAGACTCATAAGTCGAAGATAAACTGACAAGGCCTTGGCAAACACGAAAAAAGACAACAAGACAAACAACAGTCTACAGAACACGACATAGAAAACTAAAGACTGAGAAACACGCCATTGTCCCCGCAGATAAAGCCCGAAACAACATCGTTTTTGTGTGTAAATCACATTACATAAACTGCTTGATAAATGAATTGGGTATTGACAATTCACTTGGAAACTCAACATATACCCCCAAGACACTTACTAAAGAGGAAATCCTGGATAATCATAGGTCTGTTCTATGTTCCTTTGGAATTTCGAACAAAGATGAAGAACTGGATCTTCCATCACTGTATTGGATACCTAAACTACATAAGTGTCCTTACAAACAACGGTATATTGCTGGGTCTTCCAAGTGCTCCACGAAACCTCTTTCTAAAATATCAACATAAATTTTAGCAGCAATCAAAGCCGGGCTTCAAAGTTATTGTGAAACTACCTATTCTAGAGGTGGCGTGAATCAGATATTGATACTAAAAAATTCAAAAGATCTTTTAGAGTCCATACAATCTAAGACTCTTTCATCTTGCAATAGTATTGAAACATTTGACTTTTCTACACTTTACATAAGTATTCCCCATTTTAAACTAAAAGACAAATTGAAAGAGGTGGTCCCGCTTTGTTTCATAAAAAAAAGACCAATTAACGTAGATATAAGTATCGAGTCTTAGGGAGGGATAAATCCTATATACTTTGTAAAAAATCACTCTGATTCAAACAACAAATTTTCTGAAACTGACATTATCAAGATGCTTGATTTCTTGATTTACAACGTATTTAACACGTTTGGAAGACGTGTTTTTCAACAAACAATCGGCATTTTCATGGGAACAAACTGTGCCCCTTCTCTTGCCGACTTGTTCCTTTATTCATATGAGGCTGACTTCATACAGGAACGTCTTATGAAGAAAGAAAGGAAGTTAGCATTATCCTTTATCTTTACATTCCGCTATATAGATGATGTTCTCTCACTAAATAATTCAAAATTTGGTGACTCTGTTGAACGCATCTTTCCCATCGAACTTGAGATAAGGGATACAACAGATACAGTTAAGTCTGCCTCATATCTTGACTTACATCTAGAAATTGACAATGAGGGTCGGTTGAAAACAAAACTTTACGACAAAAGAGATGATTCCAACTTCCAAATTGTGAACTTTCCATTTCTATGTAGCAACATCCCAGCAGCGCCTGCATACGGAGTATATATCTCCCAGTTGATACGATATTCCAGGGCTTGTATTTCCGATCATGATTTCATTGATAGAGGGTTGCTGCTCACAAGGAAGCTATTAATCCAAGAGTTCCATGTGGATGAAGTTGAAATCATCCCTTCGTAAGTTTTACGGACGCCATCACGAGTTGGTTGATCGTTATGGAGTATCTGTTTCACAGATGATAACGGATATGTTCCTAATGTCGTAACTACTATCCCGTCCCCTTTTCCCGAATGTGACCTACCGAATTAGACTTATTACCTGGTTTGTACTAACATGAGCAACACGACGGGTGCCAAATTCAGAGCAGGATCTGCTTACCCTTCCGGAGCAACTGAGATCACCCCCAGTTTTTGGTGGGGTTCGTGTCGCTCAGTCTTTAGTTTTCTATGTTGTGTTTTGTGTAATATTGTTTGTCTGTTTGTCTTTTTCTTTTTTAGCCATGGCGTTGTCAGTTTACTTTCGACTTATGAGTTTGAATGTCCCTCTGGTATCTTTCGCCTCTCTTTTAACATATGGAGACTACTCATAACTAAATTAAAAAAAACCCAAATCTAATTCATACAAAGGTTCTCTGAAACTGACAACATCAAGATGGAAAACATATTTTTACGTTTGGTGGATTTGTTTATAAAAAGAACCACATCAGATATCAGGCTTATAAGTATTTACGCTAGACGCGCTTTTCGTCTACAAAAGACCAATCAGTGTCACTCGAATCCCAAAAGATAAAAGACAAAATAAAGTATGAAGTTAAAGAGTGTAGGACCCAAAATTCTGAAAGGTATACTGAAAGTCGGCATTCCTATTGGGACCAACCATGCTGCTGTTCTCACCAACGATGCTTTTTTCACATGAGATAGGAGCTTCTCTAATCTCCAAGAATAACGAAAAGAAGCTAGCATCATCTTTTAACATCACGTTTCAATATAAATTAGGTGATCTCTTTTACTGTAAAAAAATATAATATCAATGTATATGTTGTAAGAACGCTTCTATACCGTTGACTTTAAATAAATTGTAGTGTTGGGCAGCCTCTGCTTCATCTAGAAACTGTCATTGAGGATTGATTGAGAACAAAACAATACAATAACATATATGATGATTCAATTTCCCCATTTCGAACTTACCATTTCTCTATAGAAACATTCAAGCAGCGCCTTTACCCATAAAGATAAGCTCTTAAAAAAATCATCGAAGATACCAAGCTTATAATTTTGTACGCCAGACGCGCGTTTCGTCTAGAAAAGACTCACCAATGACGCTTGAATAAAAAA